CCTGCTTCTCCCTCTCCCACTCCCCCTGCTTGTGTTCCCTCTCTTGTGTGTCTCTCTCTGTCAAATAAATAAATAAAATCTTTAAAAAAAAGAAAAACAAGATTTAAAAAAAAAGAGAAAGGGAAAGAGAAAGAGCGGGGCGGGGGGGGGAGAGGAGGGAGAGAGAGAATCTCAAGTTGACTCCATGTTGAGCAGGGAGCCTGACACCAGGCTTGATCCCACAACCCCAAGATCATGACCTGAGCCAAAATCAAGAGCCAGACACTCAACAGATTGAGCCACCAGGTGCCCCTTAACTTAATTATCTCTTTAAAGACCTTATTTCCAAATACAGTCACATTCTGAGGTGCTGGAAGTTAGGATGTTAACATATAAACTTGGGGGGGAGAGGAATGGGGGGGGGGACACAATTCAGCCCATGACAGGGGATAAGAAAGGGAATGTGGAGACTCCTTTAGTCTTACTGGCCTATACTTTATAAGTAAAGGTCCATGTACAAAACTGAAAGGAGATGAGGAATATAGAAGTGCCTAGACAGACAAGGGAGAGAGGTAAGGAGGAAAGAAAAAGAGAGCTTAGAAGATTTCCTTCAGGTGAACTCCTACTATGATATCCTGAACCACTGGATAGAGAACCTTGAGATACAGAGAGGACTTGGGGCCAGTCTGATTCTTCCTTCTCCTATTCCAGAGAAAGAGGAAAAGATCCTCTTCTATTTCTTTGTCATCTTTCCTCCTCCCTACCTCCTGAAAGAGTTCAGTTCCACAAACATTGCTTGAACACAGACCATGTTCTAGGAAGTAAGCTGGAAAAACAGAAGAAAACTCTGCATGCTACATTTTGGCCCAAACTCATTAACTCACCCCATTTGCTCCAGGGCCAGCTTAACGAAGACAAATTGAAAGGCAAACTGAGATCTTTAGAAAACCAGCTGTACACCTGTACCCAGGTAAGCATTCTGGAAGACACTTCCAGCCCAGAAATCCAGAATTGAAGGAGAATGCCTGAACCTCGGTCCTACTCTCTAGAAATGATACCTGATAGAGATGAATGCACCCATTTCTATTCACTTGGTTCTAGCTTTGCCATTTTCACTTTGGTCCCCAACCCACCCTCTTCTCCTTTTTCCTGGTGGTCTTCCCTTTGCACCCTGAGAAGGAACCCCAGCATCAAGGTCTTTGCCAGCTCCAGGGGAATTTAAGGAATACCTGGAACTGTAGGGAGAGGCCCTAGGTAAAGATTCTCACCACCCAGATAGACCTTCATAGGTCCCAATCTTTGAACAGATAAATTGGATATTATAATAAAGTCCTACAAAAGGATTTCCATTCCGTGGGCAACTTTAGTCTAGTAGCAATCCCTGGGAGCAAGTAAAAAAGGCCATGACTCTTGGCTTTTCTATGGCCTTGTTATCCATCTTCAGGAAACTCTCGATTGGCTTGATTTTGGATTAAGATCAAGAGATAGAAAGAGATAGAAAGAAATCAGCTTTCACACTTGAGAAGTGATGGATTTCTGACAAGTGGTGAGATGTCAGATAAGAGAATGAGGTGAAGCATGTGGAGTTAGGGAGAGAAGATGGACCTGGCTGCACAGTTGAGGTCTTATGGGGGAACAGAGTTTACATACAGGTTTGCTGATCCACAACTTTTATTTCTTTAGTATGGCCTGTTTTAACTAAATAATGCCAACCATGCTCATAAAATACCAACATATAATCCAGAATGCCAGTCTATTTATTTTCAGTGGGGGGTAAAGCTGGCCAGCATGAGTAAGTCCACTAACTGGGATATACCCATGTATGACCTCAGCCAGTAGTTCCTGGATCTGGCTTCTAATGAAAATTCCAAGAACATAAGACCCACTCACACTTAAATCCAAATTTTTAGATGATTCCAAATCGAAATGGAAATGATTTCATATTGATCCTTAGATGTGCATTATCTGGACTACTGTTTATTCAGTGGGATAACCTAGAGTTGACAGTAAAAGTTGCCTGCCTTCTCCAGAATCAAAGGGTAAAAAGATGAAAGGGATAGGGAAGGGAAGACCCTAAGTGAATTTGCAAAGCTGTTCTTTTCTTAATTCCTGAAGCCAAGACAATTTCTTTAATGCAAATATATGAATTTAAAAACATTGAGAGTACTGGAGATTGCTTAGATCTCTGAAGCTACAAAGATTTAAAAAAAAAAAAAAAAAAAAGCATGCTCTCTACCCTGAAGTTTACAATCCCATAAGGGACACAGATGACTCAATAGAGTGGGAAGATAGAGACTTACAGAGGATGCTATGTGAACACTAAGAAAAGCTACCTAATCCATAATGAGTTGGGGGATAGGGGTGACTGGTCAAGATATATCAGAATTTACATGATCCTTGGACTGAACCTTGAGCATGAGTAGAAGTTAACCAGGTGAAAAGGGTAGGTGATGATGCTCTAGGCAGAAGCTATATGGACAAAGGCAAATGCCAAAATGCACAGTGCTTAGGGGATCTGCAAACAGTTCAGCTTGGGTGGAGGTAGCATAGAATCAAAGTCTGAGCTTATAAGTAGGAGCCATGCCAAGGAATTTGGACCTGATCCTTAGTCACCAAGAGATTTAAACAGGGAGTGACATGATCAGATTTACATTTCAGAAAGTACCCTCTAGCTTCAAGTCTTGAAGATAAGAGAAAATATTGCATTGACCCATATAATAGTATTATTGGAGTCTGAACTAAGGAGATGACAGGAAGTATGGAGAAGAGACAGATATGAGTTGTTAAAGAGGTTGATTTGACAACTCTCCATGAACAACTGATCAGTAGGAGAAAGTGAGAGAAATCAAGGATGACTCCCTGGTCTCTGGCTTGGGAGACTGAGTGGGTGATGATGCTGGTCACTGAGATAAGAAGCCCAGGAGAAAGGAACAGGTTGAGAAAGATGACTTGGCTTTGGAAATGTTGAATTTGAAGTGCCCTTGGAAGGCCTGGGGCATGCCCAATATGCCTAGAGCATTGTGTTAACCCCGCTTACCTCCCTCATCACCTGGGACCCACTCCCTGCCCACCTTGAGCCTGGAAGAAGACCCACCAGATTACTGGTATCTCTGCTCTGGGGGCAAGGAGAAAATTCTTTTCCTTTCTGTATCCCAGCTCAGGGGTTGGCACACAGAAGCTCAATATGTGTTTGTTGAATTGCATCAAATTTACAGAACTACTCGCCTTGGGGAATGAAAAAGGTGTTATTGGAGATGGAAGACCAGAAAAACAGCTATGAGCAGAAGGCCAAGGAGTCACTGCAGAAAGTGCTGGAGGAGAAAATGAGCACGGAGCAGCAACTGCAGAGCACACAGGTGCAGGGATGCTGCATAATCCTTGGGGCTGGGACCCCGGGGTGGCTTTGGGCAGCATGGGAGCCAGCTGCACAACTCCCTTGAACCCCCAAGGCACCCTCCTCTTGTCTGACCACCCCCTCAGCGGTCCCTGGTTCTGGCTGAGCAGAAGTGTGAAGAGTGGAGGAGCCAGTACGAGGCTCTGAAGGAGGACTGGAGGAACCTGGGAACCCAGCATAGAGAGCTGGAGAGCCAACTCCATGTGCTTCAGTCCAAACTGCAGGTACCAGGCCCTGGGGTGGCGACATGGGGAGAGAAGGCAGGGCTTATAGGACGGGGGCAGTGACAGCAGCGAGGACAGAAACTGCTGCTGGGATGGGGGTTCCAAAGGCAGCCTGAGAGCATCTGGCTTTCAGTTCCTCACTTACTGCCCACTTTGTACCTGACTCACTGTTTGGGCCCCTAAATCTAATTGAGTTCAGCAGGGATGTCTCATGCAAATGAACTAAGTGTTCACTGAACGACACCATCCACATGCAAAGGGCTGGACTGGAATATTCATCAGTCTACTGCCATACTCCAACCCACTCTCTGCACCCCAACCCAGCAGAGCATTCAGCTCAGAAATGCCCACCACTGGCATGGAACAAGCATCACTAACTTAGAGGTTGAATATTGACTAACATCCTGCCAATGTGATTTTTAAGCAATTAATGTAGACCCTTGGCATTCTCAAGGGTTCCATCGTTTCCAACTGGTGTTACCTTGTCAAAGTTAACTAATCTCCTAAGCCTCAGTTTCCCCATCTCCAAAAGGAGGCTAATAGTAGTACCTACATCATAGGATTGTTGTAGCATTGAGGTAATCCATTACAAAGCACGTAGCACAATGCCTGGCACAGACCAGCCTCCCATACACATTAGCTTTTTCTCTTCACAGATTTTACTTGATTTGAAACTTTGAGGACCCACATCAAAAATTGACCTCTACCATTTTCCTGAAGCAAGAACCTGAGTAGCCAAATTAATAGGCCAGCGCGTGTGAGTCTTATCAAAGGAGTGAACCCAGCTGACCCGTACAATACAGCCACATGCTCTCATGAAGGCCTTTTTCTTTTGAACCTTAATTTTTTGAGAAAAATGACCCTACCAAAGGAAAAAAAACTGACAGTGTTAGAAGGAGACGTAAAGACAATGAGAAGACACCGAAAAAAGTGATGGTTTGGTATTCTTTAATTTGGGCCTGACTCAAATGAGCCCCTTGTGAAATATCAAAAAGTCTAACGCGTTAAATGTGAGGAATAGAGCAGAGGGAAGAAACAAAAAATCCCAGTGTTTCCATTTCCCTAATACTCCATCTCTAAAATTCTAGTCTTCCTCTTCCGTGGGATCTGTTCCCAACCTCCGCCCCAGCACTGACCTGCTTCTGTGTCGGGCCCCCCTCCTTACAGGGAGCAGACAGTAGAGACCTACAGATGAACCAGGCTCTGCGACTTCTGGAGAATGAGCACCAGGAACTGCAGGCCAAGATTGAACACCTGCAGGGGGACAGAGACCTGTACAGCTCGGATACCCAGCACCTTCAAGGTACTCTTCTCCTCCTCGGAAGCCTCTGGCTGAGCAAGCCGAGAAAGGAAGCTGGGTGGAGGAGAAGGCCTCAGTCTTTGGTTGGGTTTGTGATTTCATTTTACCTCGAGGGAAAGGCGGGGCTGCTTTAATCATCCAAGCCTGAAGAGGAATTGTGCTGCGCTAGCGGGTCTGGTAGAATTGGCCTGCTTTTCCAGCCAGTCCCTCTGAGCCAGGTCACGGCTCCCACTTCAGTCACACGTGGCAAGGCTGCATTTCTAATCTGGAAGGGAAAGGTCAGTTGAAACATAAGGCACAGGGAATGTGTCCCATCACAGCCTCTGTGTCAGCCATGATGACCAAATCACGGGCAAATACAACTCTTGATTCAACCTGATGTTGTTGAGGCCAATGACATCCCAGGTATTTGGGATCTGGTTTACTGCTCCAGATCGGGGACGAGTAGAAGAGAGAGGAACTTCCACTTGGCACACATCAGAGGCCATAGACAAGACAGCACCCACTACTAACTCCCCTTCTCGGGTGTCGGGTTCATTAAGTCTTAGGTTTGTCTATTTCAGATTGCATTATTTCATTTTCAGATCAACTGAAGAGGTCAGAGGAGGAGAAACTCGCCCTGGTGGCCAAAGTACAGCAGCTGCAGAGTAAGTTCTCTTCCAGATTCTCAAAAGTAGCACAGCTGGCTCTTTGGTGTTCCCGGGGTTCGTGCCCCACAAAAGGCATCCAAAGGAGGGCTCTGGGGCCCGGTCTTTGATATCCTCTACCTCTGCATGTTTTCAGACCTTCTTGGAAAGTGAGGTTATTTACACAGCTCTTCACAAGTTAATATTAGCCCGTTTTTGTTTTTTTTTTCTTTTCTACTTCTCTCCTTCCATGCCAATGACAACCACCCAAATTTCCCCCAGAACTGCCATTTCCCCCAGGTTTTCAGATTTTAAAAAACATTGGGTTTTCTAAGGCAGTTATTTTATATATTGACATTCATTACATACATGAGTATGTCCTATAGACTTCTGTCTTTAGGAATGGTTCAGAAAATCAGCTCACACAACATATGCTTCAGTCCACTTCAAAACTACCCATAGAGGCCAAAGAGGAAAAGGGACTTTTCATTAAAAAGTAGGCAATTGCCTACTAGGAGAACCTAATTCGATTAATAGCTCTGCTGGGTGCCCACCACCTTAAACTCTGACACCTCAACAGAAGAAGTTTCGTGCAATGAATATTAAGAGTAAGGCAGCCACCAGCAGGCTACGAGCACCTACAGGGCAGGAGCTGAATGGGCCAGGAGTCACTTCAAAAATGGTGCTTTTATTTATTCCCGTACCAAGTGCCAGGCACTTTAGATATACACACTGAGGATACAGTGCTGAACGGAACTGACACAGCTCCTTCCCTAATGAAGCTTACATTCTAAGTTAGCTCTACAATAAAGTAGGGAGCTTCTATGAACAATTAAGTATGTGTCAGGTAGTAATAACTGTCATGGAGAAAAATAAAGCAGGTTAAAGGGAAAACGGTTGCTATTTCATACAGGGTCATCCGGGGAGTCTTTCTTCTAAGGTAACGGTTAAGCAGAGACTTAAAGGTAAAGACATGGTAGGAAGAGATACAAGGACGATGTATTCATTAACAAAATACCACACACTGGGTGACTTAAAAAACAGAAATTTATTTTGTTCTGGAGGCTACAAGTCCAAGGTCAAGGTGTGGGCAGGGCTGATTCCTTCTGAGGGTTTTGAAGACAGGTGTTCCAGGCCACTTTCCTTGGCTTGTAGATGGCTTTCTTCTCCTTATGTTTCTTCAGATGTCTTCTATCTAGTTCTGTGTTGAAATTTCCCCTTCTCGTAAGGACACCAGTCATATGAGATTAGGGCCCACTCTAACGTTCTAAAATACTTGGTTACCTCTGTAAAGAACCTATCTCCAAATAAGGTCACATTCTGAAGTACTAGGGGTTAGGACTTCCTATGAGTTTGGCGGGGAGGGACACAATTCAACCAATAACAGATGGGAACATCTTGAATAATTAAGGTTTGAAGCAAAGTTCTGAAAAGACACTGTTTGCAGTAGATACACTAGTACAGACAAGTTCCTTGTGTTTTCCCACAGGTCTGCTCCAGAATAAATCCTTACAGCTTCAAGAACAGGAGAAACTCTTAACAAAGAAAGGTCAGCAAATTTACTTCCACAAACTCTAAGCTAGTGATCTTTCCTTGCCTGCCTAGAAGCAGGGGATGGACTACATGACCTCTTGGGAGTCCCAGAAAGTTCTAGGAGTCTGTTAAGGCAGGGATCCAGGGGAGCTTTTTAAGGACTGATCATTGGCTTTGAGAACACTTTAACCAGTTAGCCTCCTATCCTGAGAGGTATATAAACTGTGAAAAGAATTTCTACTCTCTCTGAAAACCAGTGTCTGTGTTGAACATTTCAATAAATTGATTTTGAACTCAGGATTTACTGTCAATTTTTACACTTGACTTTCCAAGTCACATCCAACTCCCCAAGTCCACACCATGTTGCATGCAACAGTCACCTCACTCTTAGCCCTCAAGAATCTGCTGCCTCAGCTCCCTGAGAAGAATTCATCATGTATGGGGGTTAGAGGGGGAAGTTCCTCACTTATGCACTCCATGTGCATAAGAAACTTTCTTTTCATGTGCATAACAAAAGAAAACTTTTGTTTTCTCATCACAATCACTATGTAAAAGATAAGGCAGGAATTATGATACCCACATAGAATGGGCAAGAAAATGAAAGTCTACGGTCATAAGAATTAAGGATACAGCTAAGACAACAATCCAGAATTTCTGACTCCTAGTTCAGTGCTCTCTTCACCAAGACTAAGGCTGCCACGTGGCTAAGAGCCATCTTTAACCACAGGAAGATGAATTCTAGGATAGGACGGCCATTCTCAAGACTGAAATGAGGCCAGAAGGGAGAAGGGGTTAGTTATATTGAAGCAACCAGCAAACCTACTAGAAATACCACAAAAGAAAATGAATTAGTAAGTATCCTCTAGAAATATATGCCATTAAACAGGACTAGGGATACAAAGAAAAGTAAGATGCCAACCTTGCCTGCAAGAGGCTCGATTTCCAGCTCTGTGTCAAGACTGAGCAGGGTCCCAATGGGAGGAAGTGAGAGAATTCTACTCTGCAGTCTCATCAGGGACAGGTCCTCCCTTGTTCCCTCTCCTCCCTTCCCCTCACTCCAGAGTTCTCTCAGTGATAGGGCCGTCCCTCAGAGGTATGGACCTCACCATCACTGAGAATCTGGCTGCTTTTTTAGATCAGGCTTTGCCTGTGTGGAGTCCAAAGCCCTCCCATAATGAAGTGGAACCTGAGGGTACAGGGAAGGAGAAAGAATGGGATTTCAGAGACCAGCTGCAAAAGAAGACTTTGCAGCTCCAGGCCAAGGAAAAAGAGGTGAGATGGTGACCTCAAGATAGTGAGGGGATCGGGGCGCCTGGGTGGCTCATCGTTAAGCATCTGCCTTCAGCTCAGGTCATGTTCCCAGGGTCCTGGGATTGAGCCCTGCATTGGGCTCCCTGCTCAGCGGGGAGCCTGCTTCTCCCTCTTCCACTCCCCCTGCTTGTGTTCCCTCTCTTGCTGTGTCTCTGTCAAATAAATAAAATCTTAAAAAAAAAAGATAGTGAGGGGATCATCCCACAATGGTAGGGAAAACTGCTGGGAGGCAGCCAGAGAGCAAAGATTTCAAAGTTTAAATTGTGACTGGATGCCAGCAGGTATTCATCTGCCTTTATAAAATGTCTTTGCTTGTGGGATAATTTGTCAATCTTTTCCCTTCTTCATTTATACCAACTGCTATTCAAGGTTTTATCAAATAGTTACCTTTTGTAAAGTCAACCTAAACTCAAACACATTATTAATAAACATATTAACCCCTCAAACTTTGTCCTACAGTTATCTTAAAACTTTATACATATAGTATCTTTTAAATAATAAAACTCTTTCCATCTACAGACTCGGAAACATACATATCCCCAGAAGTATTCACATGCAACTCAACTATATCCTGGTGAAGATGCTTGTACTAAGATCACCCCCAGGTCTTTTGTCCTAGAAGAACTTCATTTTTTGGTGCCCCCATTTATAAAGCTCTTGCACATTCACAATCACGTGAGAGCACTGACATGTATAATATGTAATATTATAATATGCATTATAATCAATCATTTAAATGAACACATTCCAGACAACTAGGTAAGACAGTCAAAAGGCAAACTGAAACCTCTGAGAAAGGCTGGGAAGGGAGGATGGTGGTAAAAATTCCAAATCAATGAAGGGGTAACTCACACGGGGCCCTCGCCCTGACCTGGTCTCTGTCCCAGAAGGAACTGGTAGTGATGACGTTGGTGGTATTCTCCCCCCAGTGCAGAGAACTGCATTCGGAGTTAGACAACCTCAGTGACGAGTATCTGTCCTGCCTACGTAAGCTGCAGCACTGTCGAGAAGAGCTGAACCAGAGCCAACAGTCGCCTCCCAGAGTAAGAGGGTCAATCCTCCCGTATCGCCCTGGATGATGGTGGGACGGTTCCTCCTTTGGCCAAATCTTGCAGATAAAGTTTATCAGCCTGTGCCAACACCTGGCCAGCCTGTTCCATTCAACTGGGTTTATATAACTTGACAGTATAGCAAGTGTCAGTAAACACTGGCTTATGCATCCAAGCCTAATTTTCATGGAACTCTAGAGCCTACAGGGAAAGACTCACTATTAGCTAAAGTACGAAGTGGTGTTCTTTTAGCCTATTATGAGCTAGTGGCAAGAGTGAGGAGAGCAAAAGTACTAAGGAATACGAATAGAGAATAATATAATTTTGCTGCATTATTTTTCATCCTTGATTATTCTTATCAGTATTTAAGTATTTGGCCCTTGCTGGGTATGGTTCCCTAAGCCAGTGATCCTGGCTTAGGGGCCAGTGACCAGCAGTAGAGTGGTTTTATCCCAAAGGAAGTGACCAAGTGAGACACACAGTGATATAAAAAGCTTTTTCTCCTTTTTTGACCCAAGGTTTTCCACTGGGCTAGGATGGGAAGAAGGAAGATAATTTTTCCCTGTACCTTCTCCAAACAACCCATGGCCTCTTTCTCTCCCCCACTCCCTCCTCACAGAGGCAATGTGGCCGATGGCTCTCGATGCTGATGATAATGATTGCTATCGCACTGGCAGTGTTCCTGGCCAACAAGGACAGCCTGATGATCTGACTCACTTGTGACAGCTGCTTGGGTGAAAATCTGAAGCAAGAAACTCAATAAAAAACTCAGCAGGCTGACATACTTTAAAGTGTGGGTTTTCCCACCTGAGATTTCTGACTTTATTTTTTTAATCTACTGTAAAATAAACAAACTTCACCTAATAGTCTCTGTTCCTCAGAACTCTTAGTGTACCCCTGAATGACATGTCACATCACAAACATAAGACATTTGGGCATCCTGGTCTCCTCTCCCTAGTCCAATTCAGCTGGTGGTATATAAACATGCGGTAAAACCTACCTAGTCCTCTACTTCCTGGCAGACACTACCCACGAGGGCAGGTATATTTACAGCTACCACACAAGAGCATACACTTGTCCTCCACCACCCTTCTCCACAATCTCTTTTCTTCTACCTCCTCTCCAGTGAAAAATCAACAGATATCTCAGCAAAGAGGACTCCCTAGCATAGAAATGGCAAATACGTACGACCAACGCCACCACCACTACTCCCATGCCCGCTGCGACGCGGACAACTGGTAACAGCATTTTCCCCTAGCGTTCTCAAGATGCTCTGAATTGGTACTTGCGATGCCATCGCTGAGCTAGAGCTGATCATTTACTGAGTATCTTCTACATGAGAGAAGAGTTAAAGTCAGAGAGCCACTGCTGGCAGCGTGACTATCTCAGAGGAGACGCTCAGGTCAGCAAAGTCATTCTGAGTCCTACATCGAGTTCTAAGGTCCTTCTCCCAAGTATTCAGAATCTCCCTCAGGGCTGGGAACAAGCTCTCTGGGACACTAAAGGAATAGAGCAAGACTGGGGGATGACCACACAGCCATGAGATCCGGGCAGTGAACACCCGGAGTGGGGTCAGGGCTAAGCAGTTGTCATCTCCCTGGTTCAGATGAAAGGTATACGGAACAGGATAGCCCAGGAGGATCCCAAACACAGTACAGAGATTCCAGTTTGAGGAACGAAGTCTGCTGCAGGAGACTGCCATGGATAGGTCCCTCTGTAGCCCTTGCAAATGCGTGATGATCTCAGCCACTAGGGCCTTCAAATCCTGAAGCTGGTCCAGGGAGCAAATAGAAGGGTGAGGCTGGGAGCCGGAAACATCCACAAAGGCTATGGTACCAAGCAGCACCTGCTCCAAGTGCGGACATACGTGTTCAGGACTGACAATCAAGCTGTTTTCTCCAATCTCAAGGATGTGAAGTCCCTGGGTCAAGAAGCCCAGGCCCCGCAGTTCCTCCAGATAGCTCTGGAGCTCTGATGGCCCTGCACAACTGCAATCATAGAGCAGAGCTGGCTTCAGTCCCCGGGCCACAGCCAGCACCTCTCCAGCAAGGTGAAGGCAGACGGCTCGGGGTGGGCACTGTCTCTTTCCCATGCCCAGGGTCTGCTGAGCCGCTGCCACCAGCATCTGAGGACTCGGTGCTGACATGGGATCTGGAAGCAACAGCAAGCACGGCCTCCTGACCTAGCTACAGTTCCCTCCCCTGGGCCGCATCTCTGAGCTCTAGACACTTGAGGAAGGGCCTAAAAACAAAGCAGTAGCAGGGGATTATTAACACTAGTCAGTGACATACCAGGAAACCCGCCAACAGCCTTCCCCTAAGTTTTACAGCATCTTCCAAAGATCTTTTTGTCCCTCCCTCTGCTTTGAAATGCTAACCCAGATCAGACAGAGATGGGATCGCCAATGCTGCCTGATTTCTATGGTTGACTTAGTCTCCATTAGACCCAAATTCATGTGTCTTTCAGGTCTTATGGCTAGGTTTACATTCTCTCTGATTTCTTCTAAATTTTACCTGTTGTAAACTACTTTCTCGGATTCGAACCTTAAGGAGTTTGGGGAAGAGTAGTGGAAGGGCTATCTTCGGCAAAATTCTAGGCATTTTACCTAAAACTGCCCTTCTGAGGCAGAATTCTAGGTTCCAAACGCCCTCTTTCCACTGCCAACTTCCCCTTATCTTCCCGCCAATAGCTGTAAGAATAGCGATCTGATTAATATATACTAGAATATGGACTTAGAACCACTGCACCCTGGGACATAAAAGTAATTAATAAAATCTGTTATAACTGCAGGAGGGCTGTATTTTACTTTTGCCGGCCCCGCCTTCCCCTTCTGGCCGACATCTACGGACCTTCGGAAGATGGGCTCACTCCAATCCCCACACCCAGTGCTGAACATATTATAGTGATTTGTTCAATGAATCAGAGGTCTCTCTCTCACACATACTTTCTGCTTCCACTTCCGCCGTCGGTTCGCGGGCTCAGAAGCGCCTTCCCGCTTCCCGTGGGCTGCCGAGAAGGCGCCGAAGTCTGTACGCTCCACCACAACACTGGAAATCCCTCGAAACGCGCCGGGCTTCAGGTGGGCGAAACCGGCCTACTGCGCATGTCCAACACAAGCCCTCCCGCCGCTTTCCGTGACGTCATCCAGTCCGCTCGCGCGCCTCGCGTTAGGACCTCCGGCCAGGCGGTGCCGGAAGTGTGGGCGCCTGCGGCCCCGCCCCTTCCGGCCAGACAGAAGCCGGCCCTTCCGGTCTGCGTCGGGACGGGGAGGGACGGAAGTGCCCGAAAGAAGGCGGGATCTGGGAAACTAATAGGCTGCCGCTGCCCTCACGTGGCTTCCCGTCGTGTTACTAAGTTGGGGAAGCCGGAGAAGGGCACGTAGCGCAAAAACACCCTTTGCTTTGTGTCTGGGAAAATGCGCTTTCTTCTACAAATGAAGCATATCTCGAGACAAGCGACATATTTTGCAGAGTGTCCTCACCTGTGAGTGGCCTTACAAAGTTAGTTGTCTATTTACTTTCACCTGCCTAAATCCTAAGTTTGAGAGGCTTAATTCCTAGAGGTGGGTGCACAAATGCTGTCCAGTCCAAGATTTGTCATCTCTAAGTAGGGTGTGAAGGGCATGAGCATTATTCACTCGGAATAAATGTGTGCCAGGCATGGTTCTAGGCGCCGGCGGTATTACAACGTACAAAATAGACAAAAACCCCACCCTCGTCGTGCTCAGGTTCGAGGAATTCAGTTTTCTGATTTTACATGAGAAATGAGCAGAGAGGCAGAAGCTTTTCAATCAGGCCAGTAAGAAGGAAGTGTTATTTCACTGAAGGGTTAACACCTCTAAACCGCCAGCTATAGGGTAGGAATTTTTTGAGAAAGCTCATCTGAGGAAGTGGCCCAAATGTATTGCTACGCGGGCAGGACAGAGGCAAAGGGAACTGTGGGCTCCTATACTGGAGGTTTCACTCCTGGCTCTACCTTGGTGGTATCTTCAGAAGGTGAAAATAGACAAGTATGGAGTAAAGACGGGGCCAGCCTGGAAGGAGGATCAGTGTGTGGGAGCTCCCAGGCTAACACTGGCTCTTAGCTCAGAGGGAGTCAGAAGCAGAGACGAGAAACTAATTTTAGGATTTTTTCCTTCCCCGTATTTATTTTCCCATGGTCGTTAGCAATAAATCTGTAAAATGAAAGACTTATTTAGTTCATTCATTTATTCTAACAACAAATACAGTTGACCCTTGAACAACGCAGGTGGTAGGAGGTGACCCACACAGTAGAAACTCTGAATATAACTTTTAACTCCCCCAAAACTTTACTAATAGCCTTCTATTGGCCAGAAGCCTTTCCAATAATATAAACAGTCAACACATATGTTTACAGCAACATTATATACTGTATTCTTACAATAAAGTAATCTAGAGGAAAAAATGCTAAAAAAAATCATAAGAAAATACATTTATCATACTGTACTAATCAAAAAACAATCTGAGTACAAGTGGGCCTGTGCAGTTCAAACCTGTGTTGTTCAAGGATCAGTTCTATTTGAGAACATAGTATGTACCAGACACTGGCAACAGAGTCCAAGACAAACAGTCCCTACCTTCAGCAAGTTTGTAGTCACATAGGACACAGATGCTGAGCAATTACAAGGGAATTGATTATTTTGAAAAAAGAAGTATAGGATGATAGGGGAACATATACATGTAACCAGAGACCTAATTATATGGGGAAGGAATAAGCCCAGATCCAACACTTGCCCTCCCAATTTACCTATAGTGTTTTGTTTTGTTTAACTTTGAGCTAATCCAGTTTGGCAGGGTGGACAGAGAACAAAAAGAAGAGCTAGCGACACCATCTAATTCCCCTTCCTCTCTTAAACAAGGTGGAGGCAAGAAAGTAGACCACACCAAGAGAGTGTGTGGTGGCTACCAAAGGAAGTAACAGTCTCCAAGAAAGAAAGGGCACCTGGTATCTATCTGTCCATCAGGACCAGAGAAGGAGCACTGAGGGAGAGCAGTGAACAGCCCTGCATGCATTCACCCAGCATTCTTTTTTTTTTTTTTTTTAAAGATTTTATTATTTATTTGACAGAGAGAGAC